TCGAATTCCTTGTCGGATACCTCAGCCTATAAATAGGGCACTTCACTCTTCAGTCAGGTATCGTATTCTAGTTCGGCCTCCATACTAAGGTCGAACTCAAAACTGACTTGAGCGTCGGAGTGTTTGTTCCCTTGTGCAGGTCTTTCCTCGTCAAGTTACCTTTCAGCTCATTCTTGACACCAGATCATCCCAGTCAGCCGACCTTGACCCTTTGAGCTGGTCATCCCTTTCCAAGGATACCTAAGCTCTTCCTACGGTCATACCTGGAGCAGGTCATGCTCTTTCCACGGTCATACCTGAAAAGCAGGTCATGCTCTCCCGATGGTCATACCTGGAGTAGGTCGAGCTCTTCCTTGTGGCCGATCTTGACTAGGTCATACCCCGTCACATTTTTTGCATAAACAAACACTATTTTTAAGGGATATAGAATGTTGTCGATCACATCATTGGTGAAGTTGAAGTTTTATCGCACCATTGCATATTTTGAGAAACACAGAGAATACATAATTGAAGCATTAGCTCCTAGTAAAAAATATACAAAATATGTGTTAAATAAATTAGGAGGTGGGACAAAAGACTGGAGGCACATTTAATGGCTTCTGCTGATTGAGAAACACATACCTTTAAGGGCCGACATAATTAAGTTATTTTCTAGAAAGACAACACGTGTTCCTGTAACAAGTGACAATCCTTCAAGATACTGTGCTCTCATGTAATTGTAGATTGCAATCACGTTCACATGGCAAATTTACGACCCGCCCCGCCCGAAGTTAGTGTCTGTGGTTGGCGGGTCGCGTCATATATTTGACCAGAAGCCATAAACGCATTACTAGGAAAATCATATGCTTTTACAGAACATCTATTCTTACACTCATTCTAAACATTTTATTATGTCAAAAGGGTGTAGATAAAATTTTTAAAAAACCAACTAAATGACATACAAAATGATATGCAAATGATGAACAACTCTAGGTAGTAGAAGTTGGTTCACTATCTCTTTGAAACTCAGGTACAGTCTACGAGGAAAAACAAATGATAAACAGTAAGCTGGAAAGCTTAGTGAACAATAAGTTGATAAGAAAATAATATCGTAAAACTTTTTTCATAAACAACTGAAACTCAAAGTTCCTCAAGACATTATAAAACTTATTTAGCTAGAACTCAATAAAAACATTCTCATAAGAAACCCGTAATAACAACTTTTGAACAAACCAAAAAGTAACGCTCCTAAGGCCAAGATTCAGATTGGGATTTGGAATTTGGATTGGGTCATAATTGTCCTGGCATTCCCCTACATCCCCTACGACTTAGTTACCCTAACTTTTCGACGTGACATTCCCTTTTTAATATAACTGGGCAAGAAAAAAAATCAATATCACACATGTACCCATAATTAGGTCTACTGATGTAGAATAATCTCAATATGCATAGCTGAGTAATTTGGTCTACTGGCATAGAATCATCTCAATATACACAATAGAATAATCTGGTATAGAGTAATCTCAATATACATAGCAGAATAATCTTGTTTACTAGTCGAGATCGTAATCTCAATATGCATAACAAAATAGTATCTACGCATACACGCAGAGTTAAATGGTCCCAAAGACCTCTGAGTATACTATAGAAACATATTGATATAACATAAGGGTAATACCTCGAAACAATAATATGGTGGTTGAAAATTATATTATGCACAAAACTCATAATTTCATAAACTATTATGAAATTTTTCTTTCTAAAATTTTTTTGTTTAACGTTCTCAAATCATCTCTTAAATCTTTCTTTTCAACAACATTTCATAAAATTATATTTCCCAAACTATTTCTAAAATATCTTTTTTTAAACAGTATTTCATAAAATTATGTTTCTCAAATCATTTTAAAATTCTTCTTTCTAAGGTTACATTGAGACCTTATTATAATGTTGGTGTAGCGATCGAGGCAGGAAACTCACTCATTCTAAACAACATTTCATAAAATTATGTTTCTCAAACTCACATGTGAGTGAGGTATCATATACAATGAGTTTTTATAAGTCTGAACTGCAAAATAATTAATCTCATTTTGTAACACCATTGATTGACGAGATTAAAACTTCATAAGGTGACCATATGTAACTCGATCTCAATCCTGGGTGAGTTATAGATTCTTGCCTATGAGCAATCATCCTTTGATTTGTATAGATGAGAGTGACCCGGGTAGCCGACTCAAGAATTCTACTATTTTGAGGATGAGACTGAGTGGGAGCTAGGAACATAGCCACGCAAGATGAGATTCACTCCTCGTCGTATTTAGAGTAAGTAGAGTTGTCTCGTTAAGTACTGACTCTGGGCCTTGAACAATAGGACCCCAACCACTCACTGGCCCAAGAGGGACTTAATTTATAGTTTGACCATAAACAGATTGTTCATTATAGGATCAGTTGTACTTTAGGAGTGAGAATTCTACAACAAATATTGAGTTTTAATGTCGGACAGAAAAAAAATTACGGAGGAAACTATGACGGACAAAAAAACACGGAGGAAACAATGACGAACAATTTAAAAAATAAAAAAAGAAAAGAAATTATATTTCAATGTCGGGCAAGGCCCGACATAGTAGATCATAATTTGGGCCCGCCATCAAAAGTGGCTCAAATTTTATTTTTAACCCTAACACTAACTTTCCACCAAATTTTGTGGTCTTTATCTCTCACCTCATTGTCGCGTGAAATAGGTAGAATAGCGAGTCTGGTGGCGACAGTCGAAGTCCACAGCTTCGATCGATGGCGACAACAACATAGGATGGGGAACTCCATGGCTTCGATCGACAGGGACAGCAACGAGGACGACGACCTCCATGGCTTTGATCGACGGCGACATCCATCCCTTTGTGCAGTGGGTAAGTTTCTTATGAATGTCATAATACTCCAATTGACTGTTTTAATCTCTATTGCTTCATGATTTGTATTGACAAAGGGTTGCAATTTGTCTAGGGTTTGGTCGACACCCACCAACTGTTTTCGATTGTTTCGCATCCCCTGTTCATATGGCCTTTTGAAATTGTGGGTTTCGTGGATACTGCTTTGTTTTTTTTTTCTCTCTTTTGACCG